AGAGAGAGAGAGAGAGAGAGAGAGAGAGAGAGAGAGAGGGAGAGACAGACAGACAGAGAGACAGACAGAGAGACAGACAGAGAGACAGAGAAGGGGGGACAGGGAGGGAGAGCAACAGGTAGAGGATGGAAGGCGAGAGAGAGAAGGCGGGGGAGGGCGAGAGAAAAGCGTGAAAGGTGGGAGCAATACACACAACACGATAACGATGTCAACAACCAACACGCACACAAACTTCATGGCAGGGAACTGGTGCGCCAATCCGCATGCACGACCATCATCCCGCCTTGATTGTTGGGGTCCGCCTACATACCCCAAACACCCGATTGGCCCACTCAAAACCACCACAATAGACACCTTCGCATGCGGCACGCTGAACCAATAAAAACAGGAAAACGCTCCCATTTTCAACCGGGCAGGTGGACGTCTTAAGCGCGTTTGCTTCAACAAAAAGCCATTGTTACAAGAGACAGACAGACAGACAGACAGACAGAGGTGGAGGGAGACAGAGAGAGAGAGAGGGAGATGGGACCTCTAACTTCTGGGCGGGCGGCCGACCAATAGTTGCGCCAAAAGCAATAATCTACACTTGCAACGAGAGTGCGGGGGATCACTTTAGACGCTCAACACTGCTGTTTTGACTACAAGATCACCTTTCTCGTTCTTCAACTCCTGCTCGACCTTTGCGAGACGCGCGTGGTTGTGCTCGTTGCGTAGCCTCAGCGCCGTCAGCTCCTGGTGATCATGATGAACGTCCGACGAACAACATAAAGTAACAAAAAATGGTACGAGAATGAGGTACAGTAACCAAGAGGGTCGGGGCATAAAGGAGAGAGGAAGAAAGGAGCAAAACTAACAAGAGAGAGGAAACACCAACGACGTACACAACACCGCTGAAATCTCCAATATGCGTTGTGGAAATGTTGGAACAACGTGCATCCACGACGGGAAGGGCAACCTTCCGGTGACAAACGCACCATTGCCACCACCAACTCCACAGAAACAACAACTGCAACACAACAACAACAACATCAACAACAGCGACCAGATTATTAACATCAAGCAACGTCCACCTTGACCGCGAGCGACCGTTCCTCTTGAGCCTCCCGGAGCAGCCGAAGCGCCATCAATGGGGTGGGCCTAGCTCCGCTCCCCCCCTCCTTCTCCCCGCCTCCTTCCTGTCCGCCGGCCCCCGCCCCCGCGGGCTCCCGGCCTATGATACGCCTCAGGCTCGCCGCCTTCTGCTCCTCCTTGAGAGCCCGGGAGAATACTAGGGACCACTCCTCCTTCTCGTCTTTGATCGCGGCGTTGTCAGTCTCGGCCTTCACGGCGGAAGCGAGGCGGTCCTCGGCGCGCTGTTTGTTGGTTCCCAGGAGGGGAAGCATCAGGCAGACACAACAACGGCAACAACACGCTTTTGGTTTCAAGGAGAGGAAGCAAGAAGAAAAGAAAATGAAAAATAACAACAACGCGCTGTTGGTTGCTTCAAGCAGAGGAAGCAACAGACATAATAATGAACAGATAGCAACCACGCGCTGTTAGTTTCAAGGAGCGGAAGAAACAAACCTTCTTGTCAACGCTTAACAACAACCACCGCGCTGTTGGTTTCGAGGAATGCCGTCGGGTTCTACGAATAGGGGCAAGCGATACTGTACCTTTAGGGCTGACTTGAGCGTGGCAACCTCGTCCTCAAGAGCGATGGCGTTCCTGCGGTCGCTCTCCAGCCCCTGGCGCACACACGCAACGGGTTTTCAATCCACACGTGAGTAATAAAAATAAACAATATATACCTGGAATAAAAGACAACATCGTATGCATACGATAGCTTGATTGGGGATGTCGAGCAACGGAACGCAGACACGACGACATCACGATCAGTCACGACCAGGTGGTCATGGCAGACAAAAACGCCGGGCCATTGTCGACAGTTGATGCGGGTGGCGTCTGCATCACAACACCCCACCTCGTCCAATCACACGCTAAGGTGGTATCCGACGAACACCAGGCGTGACAGCGATGACGCTTCACCGGCCAAGCAGAGGCGAAAAACGGGCAAGTCACGAACCGAACGTGGTCATACCAACATTTATCTATACACATGCGACCGCCGCGTCCTAATAAAAGGACCTTCACGCGCGATGGCAGCAGCATGGCTTTCGGGATGGCATACAGGACCCGAGCGGAGTAATGATGGCCCCGACACCCAAGCCCCGCCCGAGTAAACAACTTGTGCGTGCACGGAACATCTTCAAGGTAGCCACAAAAAAAAAAAGAAGACGAAGCTCTTCTCCACACGTGTGTACCAGACACGTAGATCACACTCAAAGGCACCCTCCCACCCCCGCCCCCACCCTACTCAAAACACCCTCTCGAACCCTCCCTCCCCCCCGTTTCAACCCACTCGCCTGCAGCACAGCCTCTCTCTTCCTCGCCTCTCGCTCGAGCGACGTCACTTTGGCGCGAAGCTCGCGGGCCGCGGGGGTGTCCCAAGACAAAGAGGCACCTGCTGATGTTTCCGATCCTTCTGCGGGACCCCCGGCGGCAAGCCCCGCGCCCTGCTTTCGCCGGAGCGCGGCTACCTCAAGACTAGACGAGGCATAATCACAGACACGGCAGACGTTACACGCTATGCGTTACCAGAGTGAGATGTAGGCATGAAGAATGGGTACGTGATGAAGTATGTAAATATATATGAAGATAGAGCGAGATAGAGAGACACACACATAGACAAAGAGAGAGAACACGAGAAAGATAGAGAACAAGAGAAAGACAGAGACAGAGAGCATTGTACTGAAAAAAAAGAGACGCAGTAGCGGTGGAGCGGAGGAATCAAAATAAGGAGAGGCCCGGCAGCAGCACCAACAACAACCGGCGGCGGAAAATACAATCCACAAAACTTACACGAAACAACGACGACCACAGCAGCAGCAGCAGCAGCTGCTGCTGCTGCAAATGACAAGTGACCAAACCAACCTGAGGTCGGCATTCTTCGCCTCCACCTCCCGGCAGCGTCTCCTCGACTGGGCCATCTCATCGGCGTACGTCTTAGCGGCCTCTTCGAGCCGCTCCGCCTTCTCCTCCGCGACACGCCTGGCCTCCTCCTCGCGCTTCAGCTTCCTGATGGCAGAGAGGCAACAACACACGCGCCCGCAGCCAAAAAAGTGGCATGTAGTAAGCGAGCCATGACGCTACTACTGCTGTGCACGCTCTGTGTAAGGTTCATAATAACGGACGGATCCCCCCAAGTAGTAAGCGAGCCATCGTGTGCTGTGCATACACTCTGTCTTAAGTTTTCAAAAAACGCAAGGGATCACCCAAGTAGTAAGGGCGGTGGGTTACTGGCATAGTTGGCGGGGTTCCAAATGCTAGCGTGGGATCTGAACCCTCGTTTACAAGCAGGTAATTCAAAACGAACACCCTCCCTTCTCGTCCTAGGGGGGCGAGTCTCCGATGTCCTCTTCATCTGTCAGACTACCAACAGCCAGCGCCGATCCATATGGGCACTCATGAATCTGGCAGCAACTTGAACCAGTTCTATTCGATAATTAACTGTCAGTATCCCGTTGCAGAGGCTGTCATAAAAAAACGGTTCCGAAGGCACCTCTTGACGTACCGGTTGTACCTCTGTCGTTCCTGTTCACCACTGTGCCCCCCCTCTGCTCTGGCCGCCTCCAGCGCGGCGCGTTCGGCGCTCAGGTTCTCTCGAAGGTAAGAGATTTCTTCCATCAAAACCGCCGCCTTCTTGCCGAAAACCGCACGGGCCTCCTCTTCTTCCTGGGTTAGAAATTTTACCTGAGGTGGTGCAGGAAATGGCCCGCCAAAAGACAATGTTTTTCAGTAGGCACACGTGTTTGGGTAGTGGTGCGGAAGTGGTTATGGTAGCTGCTGCTGATGTTGTCCGCGCGTTGTTTTGTGGAGGATAGACATCAACCGGAAACTTGGCACTCCTGTTCTCAGGAAGAGAAAGCGAATCGAATCGAAGTAAGAAGCGGGGCGACAGAGCGTCAACGACGACACATGGTACCGCAAACTTCTTGGTAGAGTTCTTGACTGAGTGTCTCGCACCCAGACACTAGCAAGACTCACTAAAATGGCTCTTTTTGGTCAGAAGACAACTTGTACCAGGATAATGCTTCATCGTTCCAGATTTTTGGTGCCGCTTTGCTGCTCTTTTTCTCCCCAGTTTACTTCCTCTAACAAAGACCTGCAGGTGACGAAAGACGCGAAGAAACGCTGATTGCCGAAGGCTTAGACTTCAACCCCACACCAATGCTCACCCACGGGCACACCTATCGCACGCGTGGGAAGAGATCTACACCATCACTACCACCACCCTCAAGCTGGTGCGACTTTGGGGACCCCAAACAACAGGTAGGGGATCAGGTCGCCCTCAAGCTGGCGCGACTTTTGAGGATCCCATACAACAGGTGGGGAGCCATATCGCCGACGGATGTTTCCATGCCGACCCACAACCATCGTCAAAAGAACCATCGTGAAGCTACTAGATACCTTGTTCGCCCAGACGAGTGGCGATGTAACTTCTCAGCGAACCATCATCCGTCGCACCTGTCGGAGCAGCTTGCCCTTCTCCCCCTCGGCTTCCCGCAGCATCACCTCGTACCGAAGCTTGTCCTTCTCCCTGAGCACCCGGCTCTCTTCCAGCTCCGACCTGAGAAATAGTAGACAACGGCGCATGTTCAGAAAGCAACGAGCCAACATCGTACTGTTAGGGGAACAGCGTGACATCACCACCACTACCTTGGTCATAAGCAGCAGCAGCAGCTGCTGCTGCAGGAGTAGCAACGACAGCGAAGCCAGCAACATCAGCAGGGTTTCTTAGTGCGTCTTGGGAGGTTGGCAACGACGCATCTATCTATTGCCGCGCGCCGCAAGCTCCTGCTCAACGTATACCGCATGGCATACTAGTTTTCCTGCTGAGGTCTGCACATCGCTGCTTCGCTACTTTGTACATAGATCACGACAATCAAGACTATAAACTGCTGGATGTACCTCGCGATCGCCGTCGAAGTGCTCGCGCCTTCGCTGTTATCACCTCCACCACCAAGCCTCAGGCGCTTGTTGCCAACAGCGCTAGGGTCGCCCTTTGTCACCACTTCGATTAGTCCCCTGGCGGACCAGAGTTGCTTCTTCAGCCTGACATTTTTAAAGCGGGGGTGGCGGCGTGACCACTACACGAACCACAAGAATGCTGCCGCTGTTGTTCCTTGTTGCCACTCGCACTGGATGGATTGGCATCCTCAAATGTGTGCCTACGTCCCTTGTTCATGAATGCAAGCCAAAGTCATCTTGTTATTCGAAAAATGAAGTCGAGATAGGCTACAGCTAGTCGAAATTTGATACGCGTACAACTTACCTGTGTTTTCTATTGATGTGTCAACATCTTTGCCTATTCATGCAGAACATGGAACGCCATCCCACGCGACACTGCTGTACTGCATCGTGCACCTCCATGAGTGTGTACGTTTCGCCCTTGGGTGTGGTGTGGGTGTGTTGCGCCAAAAGCCCAAAGTCAACAAATACCTTGAGATTCCCATTGCGTAAAACTCGTTGTACAAAAATAGGGGGCGCATAAAGGGAGGTCATTCGTTGAAACTACCCACTAGCCTAAAACATCAATGGCCGGCAACAATGAAGGAGATCTAGGGAGATGTTCAGCAGCGAGCGTAAAGTTAGTAATGAGAATTGGACCGTTTGGGACTTTGCCACTCACCCATCGTTTTCCTGTTTCAGCATCTTCTCGCGACCAGCGTCAGAGCCTTTTCCAGGCAACAAGAACTCTCCACTGTCATCATAAACATCTGCAAGCAGGTCATCTCTCGTGTTCGCCATGTCGACCCCGCGGCCCAGGTGCGTTGTGTGCCAGCGCCGCCGAGACTCGGGACTGTGCGGTCTGCGCAAAGAGAAGGGGCTTCGTGTGATAATATTTATATACCCGGGGGTCGAGGAATAATCTTCGCGGACCCCCTTGTTGACTTGCTTGCTTAACCCTTCAGTCACGCACGTGTCCCCGCTTTGCGAGTCTGCAACTAATAGCTGCGTGCCAGGGAGCATGTCGCTGTCCTTTCTCTTCTGTAAACCATGGTAAGCGCTACAACCTGAGGATAGTTTGCCTCGTTACACACACCCAAGCTGCTTCTGGGAATTCCACCGCTATTTTTAGACTTGCCGCCTCCGCCTGTCTCGAAACTGCTGCTGCCGTCGATTTGCTTTGCCTGTGTGTACGCGTCTTACGCTTACGCTGGAATCTGTAAGTTGACGAGCATGGCTGTGTTCAATCATGCGTATCGAGGGCGTGTCATTGCTAGCATTTGCACAAGCGAGCTATTATAAAAGTCATACGCTTGTCAAGTTGTCCTTGTCTTCGCGGATGATACTTGTACCGCAACAACAGCCGTAGACGACCTTCTGCAGGGTGCAGGATACCAATGAATACTCTCCAATTCGCGCAAGTTTACCCGTAGTTTGCCGACAACCTCCTGCCATTCTCGCTCGCCAGGCATCCAGCCACGACCTGGAATCAAAAAAAGATTTGGGAGGCCGAGCAAGCGGAGCTCAAGAAAAAAAAGGACGAGGCAATCGCCAACAAGGAGCTCAAGAGGGACAGCGACAGGCGCTTCTACGAGAATTTGGCCGGGGGGAAGCCGCAGGACGCCTCCGCCGCCGCGTTGAACTTCATGTACAACCCCCCCCCTGGGTACCAGCAGGTGAGTCTCTCGTACTGCAAACGGATGACTCTAGATAAAGAAGTAAAAATTCTAATTACGCGAGATAGAGTGGCGGATTTCTAGCGCAAGGGGCACTGCAGTACAGGCGAGCAGTGTGACACGTTGCGCTATTGTGGCAAGGTACCCACGACAGGGGCCAACCCAAGCGAGCTGCTATTATAGGTACAGGTACCGCTGTTCTTTTGGCGACGGCTCTGGGTGAGGGAGAGAGAGAGGGATGTATTTGTAGACGCCCACCGCCACCACCATTACCTGTGCTTCGTGGCTACTCTTGGTCATGACAACATTCGCCTGCACTTCGCGCCAATTCAACAGTCAACCCACCCCTTCGAATGTGTTTTTTTCTGGTTTTCTCTCGAACGGGTACATAGTCTTCCTCTGATAGTATGTAATCGTGAAAACATCGGATCGTGGACTGTTCTATTAACAAACACGCAAAAGCTCATGCCACCGCCGCGTCGAACCTGCCGCTGCCACCGCCGCCGTCGCCGCTTTAGCCCGAGGAGGAGGAACTTAACGATGACGACGAAGCGGTCAAGAAATTCAAAGCGTGAGTCTAGGCAGTTTCTTTCGCTGCTAGCCTCGGTCAAACGTCAGCGCGTGTAGGTTTCCAGTGGGAAACGCACCCTGTTGTGGTATGTGACCGCTACTTCTGTTGGCCGTAGTTTGTGTGTAGAATTATCGGCACAACGGCGGCACCGCTGGTGTTGTCCTGACCGTGGCGTAGTTCAATGATCAGCGATTCGCGTACGTAGAAAATGCGTTGCAAACATTGTGAAAAACAGCAGTAGCATACGGCAGTCGTAGTAGTTTGCCTTGCAAGGGAACCAGACCGTTCTGAGCGAAGGTGCTGTCGGTCGACAGTTGGAGGTGACAGGCGATGCCAATTGTTGCACAAGTCTTTCGGCTCGGCTTCGGATGGCAATATCGACGTTTCATGTTGCAGTTTGTCTCCTCCTACGTAGCCTCGAGCACCCGACTTGGTATTAGTTCATTCTCACTCCCACAACATCATATTGAACACCATCCCTGCCACATCTCTTCTATCTGCCTTGTCACCTCGCTATTCGAACGTCCTCAGTCTTGCCAAAATGAAGGCGGACCCCAACTTTTCGGCGGCGACACAAAGCTCGGAGCTGGAAAAGCTGGTGGGCAGGCGGGTAAACCCGGGCGTGTCCCTCGCGGAACAGCAGGAACGGTTCCCGTTTCTCAAGGACGCGCCGGTGGAACACGCCTACGCGGCGGGGGTGAAGGTGAGGGGCTTTATCGGAGAGTAGGGAGTGCACGCCAGCCACAGTTTTGGTTTCGGCGCTTGTGGCTGGACGACGACGGGGCGCCCGAAGCAACTCCTCCTGCTATGTATGCGAGACGTTGGTGTTCTTCTCGGCGCGTTTTTGACTCGTCTTTGTGGAGTTCGCCCCGGACGGCGGCTTAGAACTTGCCCGTGGCTTGTATGCGAGCTTTCGTCTTTTGTTATGTCCTCCTCAACCATGGCTTCGTGGCTTCGTGGCTTCGTTGCAAGGTACTTAAGTTCTTCCGCTCGGACATCAAGGATTAAAATATGGATACCGATCATGAGGGGTGTCTCCACCCCGCTTAGCGGGTATTTGGGGGAAATATAGTTGGAGTCTAGGGTATACGCATTTATTATAAGATTACAGCTTAGTAGTCTTAAAACAATACTTCTATAAGAGGCAAATAAGGTATCAAGATACCTCTCTAGACCGATTATACCTAAACAATAGTTTAATGCCCTCCATGATCCTTATTTTGTCCTTAGAATGCATTTACGTCTTAAAGAAAATATTTATCAAAGCATTTTAAATATTAAATATCCATTCTAAGAGGCGGATAAGGGGCAAACTGTACATGAAATTGAATTTGATCACTTATTTAACGATGATGAATAAAACATACGCACACTATATAAACAATCTGATACTCTTTTTAAAATTTATCGCTATTTTGTTACTTGTTACAAAATTAGCAGACCTTACTTCTTTATTTGACGACATAAGTAAAGCAAAAGACTTTTTCTTTTCAAGTTATAAGGATGATTTAGAAGAGCTTATACTCGAGGAAGAAGATTTTCCAGAAGTTGAAATCGAAATTCCTTCAAGTATTGAAAACACACCCAGTTCAAATCTGGAGCCCCAAAACAATAAATATCTATGTACTATTTTAAAAATTAGTGGAGCTATTGTTTGTGGTGCAGCTCTTATATTTGGAATTAAACCCGTCCCGGGAAGAGACAGCAGAGATGTCGACCCACGTCAACAAGCGCTGTACGATATGTTGCTTTTTTCACGCCTGCCCATCTCTCATCTTTTGTCTCTTTCGTCCCGCTCTCACCATTCATTTTCCCGCCTCAATCGTTGATCAACGCGGCCCGCCAAAGGTGAATTTCAAGCCTTTCAACAACGTGATCCGGCACGTTCGATGCATGCGCTGCGGCGAGTGGGGGCACCGAAGCGGCGACCGCGAGTGCAGCGTCGACGAGAACCCCCACGACGCGGAGCGCCAGAAGCGCGAAGACCCAATGTCGTACATGGCGGCCGCTTCTGGGGGCGGGCAAATGGAGAGCTCTACGTATGGCGGGGGCGGAGATGATGCAAGCGCGGACCCGGACTCGGAGTACGTGAATAGTCTTTCGACGAAGAAGAAGCGGCGTCTGCTAAAGTTGCTGCAGAAGATGGAGGAGGGGGGCGGGGAGGCGCGGAAGAGCGCCAAGAAGAAAGATCGCAAAGGAAGGAAGAAGCGGAGCAGCAGCAAGCAGGGATCAAGAGAAAGTGACGGCGGTGGTGCCGGGAGTGGCTCAAAGAGAGAGAACGAGAGGAGACAAATTCGTAAGGGAACGAGTCGTGAGGGAGACGGGAAGGAACAGATATCTTCGAGAAGTGCCGTTAACGACCACAGGAAGGACAGGAAGCGAAAGAGAGAAGAGCGGGATGATGGGAGCAGCAGGAGAACGGATAGCAATGATGTCATCGGCCACAAGAGGGGTAAGGAAATGGGGGAGGATGGCGTAGCTGCGGAGGAAAGCGGCCAGGATGCAGCAAGAAAGGTGGCGGGATTGGAGGCACGGTCTTCGTCGAGGGAAGAAAGAGACGCCCAAGAAAAAAAGAGACGCCGAAAAAAAGAAAAAAAGAAGGGCCGGGTGGAGGATCACGACAGAGGCTCGACTCGTAAGAGCAGTAGCGGTCGCAACCACCGTCATGGCAAGGACAAGAAGTGAATAGGGGGGGTTGCGACGGGTGGAGCTGTGTGTGTGTGTGCTGCGCAACAAGTCATGATGACCGTAACAATGGGAGGTCCACCAACTTCAGGCAGCAGAAGCAGCAAGGCAGCAGCAAGGATATATGGTGGCATCGCTAAGAATGGCAAAGGTAGCTGGATGCCGGTGCACGATTCCGTTGTTTGGTTAGATAGTGTGGCACCGCAGGAGAACCTGGAGTTCAGCAAACGATGTTTTTCCCGTCGGTTTACTTGTACCTGCTTCCGCGGCAAAGTCACTAGATCGCTTTTCTGGAACAGCTTCTGGGAAACCTAACCAGTCCCGTTGGTTACAACTGCTGTGGGTGGCATTACCCGATGGCGCTACCAGCCATACTTCGGGTGAGGCATCGCTTTGGTGCGTCATGTAGTGTACGGGCATTCCCGTCTGGAACCAAGTTTCAGCTCCTCTTCCTCGTGCGAAAGCCAGAACTTGTGTTCCAGCACGAGGGGGTCCGAGTAGTGCAGCCACTCAAGCATCGGAGGCGAACCCAAACAAGACATCTCCGTCTGAGCCTCCAAGGGCGGGTTCACGAAGCCTCCGGATTCAAGGGTGGAACCAACGAGGCGGATGGATACCACCATCCACGGAGACGCTCTCCTCAATCCTGACCTGTACCAGTCTCTCATGAGTATGGACTGTCAGTTCATGCTGCAAGTTGTAAGTGTTGCTCGGCAGACTTCTGATCTACAGGGGCTAAGTGTCATGCATACGATGAAAGATGGACATGATGAGCGAGATTTCTCCATATAGTACTGCGGTTGGGATGTGATGTAATTAGATGGGCGGTTGGCTGTCGCTTGCCCCGATCTTGCGGATCGGTCTTCAAGTAACGGGGGAACGGATCGCAACAACAGCAGTATAGAAACGTACTCGAGTACAAAGGTGTCAGTCGGCTCTCGCTGCCCTTCTCCAGACTTGCCCTGTTTGTCTTCTGCCAACGCGAGAGCCAACGTGAACCACAAGAGTATCTAACGTCTTTTGTAGAATCTAACAGATCTACAGCAGTTAGTCACACTGACACCCCGAAGTAATCACGAACTACGTACACCGAACCGAGTATCATCTTCCTTTTGAGAGGAGTTTAGCGCCCTGCCTCTGTATTGGTAGCTCCACGTTGCAATCGCACCACCGTTTTGCGTATCAACCTGGTCCATCGACTGGTATGCATAGTGCAAGCAGGGAGCCTACTCTATGTATCTCTACAACGTTTGGAAGATGATAGGAGATACTGTACATTATCACAGCAGAGAGTATGTACTTTGGTGTGCACCTCCCCACACAGCATCAGTTCCATGTACTGGTGTTGTAGTCTACTGCGGTCATCTGTAGCAGCGAATAATTAACCACGTTTGCGTTTGCGAATAAACAGACCGTAGATGCAGCTGTCAGTAGGGTTATATATCTTCGTGTGTGTCCAGGCGATAACGAGTTGACGCGATGTCCCGTGTCCTTCTGTGACCTCCTGTGCTCCTGTGTCCTTGAGCATAAGCGCCTGAGCAGCGTAGCGTTGCAAACTTTGGTTCTCTCGAAGCGTCACGAAACATACCGCGTGATTCCCCGAGAGGGAAGAGTGAGGAGAGAGAGATACTTCCCGACCGCTCCCGACTCCCGACGTCCCTTTCCATATCGGGGACGAGCGTTCGTGAGAGGGAGAGAACAGGCAACACCAAAGGCAGAACCGATGAGCCGAGAGTTGAGCCTCGAGATCTCTCAGTCTACGGGAAGTCCATCTATGAAGGAAGCGAAAGGTGATTGCCAAACACCCGGTTGTCCTTGCGTTACGCGTCCACAGCAGTGCAGGACAGAGATGGACGCACAATAGTACCGCCCCTTCGCACTGCACCAGCCACAAGCTGAGGTTATCCACACAAGCTTCTCCCACCCACATAGGTTTAAGTATCAGCGGGCTGATTGAAAAAGCCGAAGGAAGGAATTGGGTCACCGCTGTCAATATCCTGCTGCTTCTTCCCGTTGAAACTTGGATGACGGCCGGCTGCACCCTCTCTCGCGTGGATCCAACTCTATGTAGCCTGTTTGGTCCATTGAAGTACTGTTATGTGAAGTGGGCCCACGACAGAGCCAGGATAGCTGTCAAATACCAAAGCAGTTACCACGATCGATGTCGAGAGCTTATTCAGTCGCGTGCTTTGCCCATCATTGAAAATTCGGACACCCACCATGCAGCAGTTTGCGGATAGTTCGACGGTTTTTTGGTTTTCTTAAAAAAAACGGCCAAGCGGGAGAGGGGGAGAGCAGCTTCGCGAGAGAGTTGGGGTTACACACCAAACTACCATGCCGGACAATTTTTTCTAGAGGGGAAAGCGGCGACGTGTGCAAGCAGTGCTGCTGCTGTGGAGCATAGAGCTTTGCTGGCGCTCAATGCTACACATGGTATGCTATGTAGCAAAACGGTAGAGGGTCTGAGTGCGTACATAGTGCTGTATGCACGAGCAACAGACGTGCTTCACAAACCACGCGCACGAAAAAACACAAAACACGCTGCGTGGAACTTGCAGGCACACCCGAATCCGGGTTTTACGGAACTTCTATCCCAACGCCCCAAGTGTATGGCCAGGGAGGGAGTAAAGTGGCTGTAGTCTAGAGGACTAATCGTCACTCAATGGCCAGGTCTTTTCTTGCACGAACTCTGCGATAGGTGTGTCAATAGCAACCATCTCGCGGCCAGAGCGATGCCCATCAACCCGGTTGTCGCCTGCTACCGCCTATCCGTTGGTTTCAGTACGCATTCCGCACCCCGACCTTGATTTCGTTGCCACCAGCAAAGGAATGCTGATCATCACACGCAACGCAAAACACCACGGGGCACAATCACCACCACCAACGAACAGCAGCAGAAGCAGAACAACCACCACCACAACATCGAGGAGGTAAAGCATAGTCTGAACGGTCCCAAGCAGGGTCTTCACGCCCCCTCACTTGCTCGAACGTATCCAATTCCACAATCACAACGCCATTCACAACCCACCCACGCCAGCAGCAGCCGCCGCCCCGGAAACAAACCAAGAAGACGAGGCCCAGGAAGAGAGCGCTTCCAACGTTCTCCGGAGATTATCCTCCCCGATCTTCGGCGCGGCCGGCTTCAACTCGGACAGCAAGGACAGCAACCACAGTGACGGTGACTTCAACATCAACGAAGAGTCGAGGGGTGATGACGACGGCAGCGATGACGAGGAGGAGACGGAGCGCAAGGAAGGCGCCGCCGAGGTGGTTCAGCGGTGGTGGCGGGAGTGCCGGCGCGCGTCGAAGCGCACCAGGGCCGTGGTTGCGGCGAGACCTGCGTTCGTTCGAATCCAGCAGCTCTTTGACAAGGTGCGGTGGTGGCGTAGGGGGGGAAAGGGGAGCGTGTTTCACGTTGATGTCGGCTCGTGTGTCTCTGTGCCGCTCAACTCAACCGAGAGAACAAAAGCCGTGAAGATGGACAGTGCATGTGCTGTAGCACGATGGGAGTGCGGAAGGGGAGCGGTCGTATTCGCTTGCTGGTTGATCGTGTGTCTCTATTCCACTCATCTCAGCCGAGATAGCAAGATCCGTGGAGAACGACAGCAGTGCACCCCCCGCGATCGATTTCTCCGAGCCCTCATCATCAGGAACAGGTAGCTTATCAACGTCTTTAGACGTCTTGTGTGAATACGCCCAATAGCCTTGCTTCTTTCGACGGACGACCAGGTCCCGTCTCCGTCCCGATCGCTCACCTCCTTCCTTACCATCTGGTGCATCTGCGTGTTGTGTGGCAGCTGGACGCCGGTCAGATGTCGTTCGAGAGGACCGGACTCGCGTTGCAGAACCCCGACATCCAGCGCGCCGTAACGACGGCCCTTAGCGCGGTGCCGAGGGACGATGCGTTGCTGGCGATGCCGAAGGCGTCCAGGCAAGCATATGCATACGCACGCGTTTTTTTGTTCTGCCATATCTTGGCCCCTACTATACTTTCCATTTTTTTGTTGCTGTTGAACACGAAGGCCGTCAATATATCTTGTGTCAACGTAAGTGTAGCGCAGGTTGGCTGCTTCGAAGAAAAAACGGAACGAACAAGCCCGAGAGGTCTTCGGCTATACCACAACAAAACAGACGATTGCGGAGAGTACATTGTGTAGACTCTTTTGCTTGCACGAACTGGGTCAGTGCACCATCCCACGGGGAAAGAACGTCATCGTGTACGTATGATACAACAATAGCGGAGTCGGTGATTAATCCAACTATTAACGCGTCCGCTTCGTTTCGGAGCGAAGAGAAAAGGGACCACTATTCCTTCGCAGCAGTGGCGTATGAGAAGAACAAACACCGTCCTTGACGAATTGCGTCAAATTTTCCACAGCAGTACCGTAGCCAAGACAACCCTGTGCGTGTTCAGCACATTTTACCGACGGTTTAGGTTCAATGAACGGGAGCCACATGTTTTCTTGGCGAGCGTTCTTTGTTTCCCGCTCTACGTTCCGTTCATGCGGTCGCGATGTGCAACTCTTGCCGTGCCTGTTGACCAGTGTTCTCTTCCCTCATTTTTCACTTTTATCCGCGTGTTGGTACGCTGCTTTAGATCTACTCGGGCGGTCCTGTCATCCTTGATGATCGTGTACCATCCTGGCGAGGTGCTGACAGCTGAAGGCGACGACGACGAAAGTGGCGATGGCGGTGGGTTGTTTGTTTTGACGTATTGTATTGTCGATGTCCAAGGAGGTTTCTGCCCGTGTTCTGAGTTTCGTGTGGTGGGTGCAGAAAAAGCGGCGTGTGTTGTGATAAGCAAAGGACCATCTTGCCGACGCATGGTGTGCGTGTTGTGTTAGGCTGTACCAAAGATTGCTTGCAGCTGGTTTGCGCGCCACGTGGACAATGTAGATTTTTGCCTATTTACCAGGCATGTGAAGGTACATTTTTGGCGATAATAGCCATTACCACACCTACCTGGTGAGAGAGTAAGCACTATGATCGTTTCACTTTCTTACGAGTTTTTTCATTTGGCACGGGCGCGACAGCAATATATCAGACCACCATCATCACGGCAATCAAGCACATAACACATATGCAATGCCCCCATTTTCCCGGGAGCAGGAGCGGCGGCGGCAGCAACGACGGCATCGTCGTCAACGACGCCCCCTTCCCCGACCCGCCTGGGCTCCGCGGCAGTAACAACACCCGTGGAAGGCGTCGCCGCTGAGAAGAAGCTAGACCCGGTGGCGGCAGCGCTGCGCAACGCCTCCGCCTTGCTCCTGGCCTCCATGAAGGCGGTCACGGCTGCGCTCGGTCCGGTAGTGTCGGGGGAGAAGGGCGCACGGAAGGTTAGTGGGATGGCTTGGTCCTGGGGCAATTTTTGGGGTTGGGCGCGGTGGTGGGGGGGGGGGGGGGGGGGNGGGGGAGGTCGGGGGGCGCCTTCTGGTGGTCGCGTGGGTGGCAGGGGAGGTGCGGGGGGGAGTCAGTCGTACGAGTTTGCCGTGATCGCTTGGCCATTGAAGAAGCAGCGCATCTCGTCGATAATCAAGGATCACAAAGGTGGTTTGGATCATGTGTTTGGCCTCATACCCCGCCGACGCGGGGGGTCGGAAGAACCCACGTTCATCCATGGCCGCAAAAACTTGTATCTAGTAGAGTCTTTTTGGACTCTCAAGCCCTTTTCCCGCAACAAGTAACCAAAAGGTTAACGGCATTTGGTGAAGACACTTACCTTGAAGACCCGTGCCTCGTTCCATCTCCGCCCGCACACACAATCTTACTCCGTGTACCACCCACCCTGTCCCTTTTGTTGCGGTTTACTACTCCCTTCCCCCCCCCCCCCCCCCCCC